TGTTTTCAAGGTCATAGATAGATAGATAGATAGTCTATATATATATTTATGGTCTCTATATATAGATAGATGGTCTTCAAACACTGCAGAGACCTACAGAATTTAACATTTAAAATGTTTTAATAACAAGGCTTTTCATGACAGTGAGAAATATCTATTACTGGCAGCACCAGTTTACTTTAAAAGGGTGATGGGCATCAATGAACCTCCATTTTGAGTTTGCTTTCATTGTGGCAAAGATAGCCATTTGGGCAAGAAACTGCCCTTGCCTTAACTAACAGTGTGCTGTCCAAATTAGACAAGTTGGACACAAAAGAAGTGACTGCCAAACTTTGCCAAGACTTGGGACAGTCCTTCAAAATTTCCTTCTTCACAAAAACTTCTGTTAGATATCTTAGGCCTTTAGGCCAAAGATGGATGCCCCAATGTTAGAGAGGAACCTTGAGGTGACTTTCTAGGTAGCCAGATGTCTCTGTTATTTCTATAGTTTTAGAAGTTGCTTGCTCTGCACTACTCAAGTCTTTGATGGGATTGAAAATTAAATTGTTAGAGTTTTCCTTAGAAGTTAAATTAGATAGAAAAAACTAAAACTAGATACAAAATTTTGGGACTCACCAAGATAGGATAGATAATGAAGTATTTTATCTGAATTTGCCAAATACATAATGGACTGGACATTGTGAATGTATTTTTTACTTGATAATTGTTCTTATTATATATAGTTTCACTTTGTTAAAACTGATCCTTTTTGATCTAGGCAGTGGTGGTGCATGCTTTTCATCCCAGCACTCGGGAGGCAGAGACAGGTGGATCTCTTTGAGTTCGAGGCCAGCTTAGTCTACAGAGTGAGTTCCAGGACAGTCAAAAATACACAGAAACCCCATCTCGAAAAAAAAAAACAACAACTAATACCTTGTTATATATAGTTTTACTATGTTAGAGTTAAAACCTTTTCCTTTTATTTACACAAAAAGGGATAAATGTTGTGGGAGGTTTGTTTTCACTCTAAGGCCGTCCATTGAGTGAACAATAGAGTTTTCTGGCTCACTCAGAGTAGATAGAGGGGTGTAGAGTATAAGGAGGGGCCGAAAAGATGCTTGTTATTTTCGATTGGAAAGGTGGAGAAGAGTGTAAAGTGTTCTTTGCCCCATAGCTCCATGAATCAATAAGGTTTATTCCCTAATATTTGACTCCCAAGCTTTTTTTTAATTTATTTATTATGTATATAGTGTTCTGGGCACCAGATCTCATTATAGATGGGTGTGAGCCATCATGTGGTTGCTGGGAATTGAACTCAGGACCTCCAGAACAGCAGTCAGTTCTCCTAATCTCTGAGCCATCTCTCCAGCCCTTGACTCCCGAGCTTTATTGAATAATAAAATATTAAAAGAAGCTGTAGTAGGCCTTATCTACCTTCTCTAACAGCAGTGTATGAAAGACCTCATTCAACATCCTCTCCAGGATTTGCTGTTGCCACTGTATTTCATTTTATTAAAGGGTGTATAGTGGCATTGAGTTGTATTCTTTTTTTTTAATGTCTTTTATGACTGCACCTTCCCATTTTGCCAGTTGAGATGTTAAATTCTTTTTATTTATTTATTTATTTGTTTATTATGTATACAGTATTCTTCCTGCAGGCCTCATTACAGATGGTTGTGAGCCACCATGTGGTTGCTGGGAACTGAACTCAGGACCTTTGGAAGTGCAGGCAATGCTCTTAACTGCTGAGCCATCTCTCCAGCCCGAGTTGTATTCTTTTTTGTTTTTTTTTTTTTATATCCCAGAGTGGCCTCCATCGATGGCCTTGAACACCTGATCCTCCTGTCTTCGCTTTCCAAGTGTTGTACTTGTAGGCATTCACCACCATACCTGATTTATGTAGCACTGGGGAGAAAACTCAGGGCCTTGTGCATGCTGGGAAAACACCCTACCATCTGACCTAAATTCCTAGCACCTAAGTAAAGTGTGTTTAGGGTTTTATATCTTTGAGGTTTTCATTTATGCAAGCATGATTTGTTGAAAATACTGTTCTCTGTATTTGCAGAGTAGTTCATGTTTGTAATCCTGAAACTCAGGAGACTGAGGCAGAAGAATCACCTCAAGTTTGAGGCCAGTCTAGACTATATGAGACCCTTTTCCAAAAAGAAAAAAAAAACCTCCAGGACAGTCAGAGCTATTACACAAAGAAACTGTTTCACAGTAGGGGGGTGTGTGGGGCAACGATGACTATGAACAGACAACACAACAAAAACCAAAAGCATATACCAGCGGTTCAATTCAACATTCTTTAGAATCTTTGACAAACGAAATCTTTTATGATTTTATATTATTTTATATATTATTAAATAGTAATGTACTTTAAAGTATAATGTTTGCTTAAATTTTTTGGTGTTTTTAAGATGTGTCTCATGAGCTGTGTGGTTACCACCACACACACCTTTAATCTCAGCACTGAGTTTAAGGCCAGCCTGGTCTACAGAGCTAGTTCTAGGACAGCCAGGACTACACAGAGAAACCCTGTCTCGAATAACCAAAATATAAAAACAAAAAAGATGGTGTCTCATGTAAACCAGGTTGGCCTGGAACTCTATAAAGGTGAGGCAACCTTGAAATCTTGATCCTCTTCCTCCGGTACCACCACCCTCATCTTAAATCTTATAAAATACTAAAGTTTAAGGATATTTTTTTTTTTGGTTTTTTCGAGACAAGGTTTCTCTGTAGCTTTGGAGCCTGTCCTGGAACTCCCTTTGTAGACCATCTAGGCTGGCCTCGAACTCACAGAGATCCGCCTGCCTCTGCCTCCCGAGTGCTGGGATTAAAGGCGTGTGCCACCACCACCCGGCAAGGATAATTTTTTTTAATTTATTTATTTATTAAGGATTTCTGCCTCCTCCCCGCAACCGCTTCCCATTTCCCTCCCCCTCCCCCGATCAAGTCCCCCTCCCTCATCTGCTCGAAGAGCAATCAGGGTTCCCTGACCTGTGGGAAGCCCAAGGACCACCCACCTCCATCCAGGTCTCATAAGGTGAGCATCCAAACTGCCTAGGCTCCCCCAAAGCCAGTACGTGCAGTAGGATCAAAAACCCACTGCGATTGTTCTTGAGTTCTCAGTATTCCTCATTGTCCGCTATGTTCAGCTCTAGTCCGGATTTATCCCATGCTTTTTCAGACCTTGGGAATATGCCCAAGAGAGGCCCTATCATACAACAAAAGTATATGCTCAACTATGTTCATGGCAGCATTGTTTGTAATAGCCAGAACCTGGAAACAACCTAGATGCCCTTCAATGGAAGAATGGATGAAGAAAGTATGGAATATATACATATTAGAGTATTACTCAGCAGTAAAAAACAAGGACTTCTTGAATACAAATGGATGGACATAGAAAACACTATCCTGAGTGAGGTAAGCCAGACCCAAAAAGAGGAACATGGGATGTACTCACTCATATTTGGTTTCTAGCCATAAATAAAGGACATTGAGCTCATAATTCATGTTCCTAGAGAAGCTAAATAAGAAGGTGAATCCAAAGACAAACACATAGGCATCCTCATGAATATTAACCTTCATCAGGCGATGAAAGGAGACAGAGACAGAGACCCACATGGGAGCACCGGACAGAAATCTCAAGGTCCAAATCAGGAGCAGAAGGAGACGGAGCACGAGCAAGGAACCACGAGGGGTGCACCCACACACTGAGACAATGGGGATGTTCTATCGGGAACTCACCAAGGCCGGCAAGGATAATTTTTAAGAAAGAATATTTGAGTCACTTGTGGTGGCTTACCATGTAATCTTGGTGCTCAGGTGAATGAGGCTTGAGGATTTCAAATTTCTGGTCCATCTGAGCTGCCAGATGAGATCTTACCACAAAAAAAGAAAAAGTATCATCAGGACCAGCTCCCAATTTATTTCATAGGATTTATATTTTCTTTTTTAAAAAGATTAATTTGTTTTCTTTTATTTCTATGTTTCTGTACCTGCATGAATTTTTGTTTATCACATGTGTGGAGACAGGTGTACAAATGTCTAAAGAGGCTAGAGAGGTTTGGATCCCCTGGAACTCGAGTCACAGGAAGTTGTGAGCCATTAGTCCACCCTCTGGGATTCCTATATTCTGTGTACCTCTGCTTGGTGGGCTTAGCTTAAGAAAGGAGCTTTGCAAGGCAGGCGATGGTGGTAAATGCCTTTAATCCCAGCACTTGGGAGGCAGAGCCTGGCCGATCTCCGTGAGTTCAAGGCTAGCCTGGTCTACAGAGTGAGTTCCAGGACAGTCAGTGCTGTTACACAGAGAAACCCTGTCTCAACCCCCCACACAAACACAAAAAAAAGTTGCTTTGCTAAAGTAATTTTAACATATATACTTATTTCATTGTGTAAGTATGCATGCACTACAGCACATGTGTAGAGTCAGAGAACAAGTTCTAATTGGTTCTCTCCTTTTACCATAGATTCCTGGGATCAAACTCAGGTTATTAGCCCTAAAGTGACTTTTTGGTTTTATTGTATTTTTGCTGTTGCTGCTGCTACTGCAGACTCCTCCACTACAAATACTTGGTGAAGCAAGGTTTCTTACTAAGTAGATCAGGTTTGGCCTTAAACTCAAAGAGATCCACCTGCCTCTGCTCCCAGGTGCTAAGAATAAAGGCATGTTCTACAATGCTCAGCTGTTTTTCTTTGTTTTTTTTTTGTGGGATTTTCTTTTTTTTGGATAGTGTTTTGGTAGGAATCTTAGGTCGGCCTCAAACTATGAACTTGCCTTCACCTCCTGAGTGCTGGGATAATAGGCGTATGCCACCACACCTCTTTGTGGCTTTTTGTTCCTGATATTTGAGGTTTAGGTCTTAACTATGTTGCCCAAGCTGGTCTTGGGCTTTGGGGCTCAGGAGATCCTCTTATTTTAATGTCCTGGGTAACTGTAATTATAAACAAGACCTGCTAAACCCAACCTTAAATGCCAATTTGAGTATATTCACAAGATCTCATTTTGTCTTTTGTAGATGGTGTTATCTGAGAAGGTTAGTCAGCTGATGGAATGGACCAATAAAAGACCTGTAATAAGAATGAATGGAGACAAGTTCCGTCGCCTTGTTAAAGCGCCACCAAGAAATTACTCTGTTATTGTGATGTTCACTGCTCTCCAACTTCACAGACAGTGTGTCGTTTGCAAGTATGATCTTTCATCTCCACTTTGAAATTAAATTGGTTTTTGGTTTTTAACTGTTTTTCTTTCTCAGAAGAATCAAATTTGTACAATGGGTTCGTTAATAAATAGATTATACCTTACTCATGGGTTATATAACAGACACTATTACTGTTTCGTTTTTTTAAGATTTATGTATTTTGTGTATGTAAGTGTTCTGTATTCATTCATGCCAAAAGAGGGAATCAGATCCCATTACAGATAATTGTGAGCCGCCACGTGGTTGCTGAGAATTGAATTCAGGAACTCTAGAAGAACAGCTGAACCATCTCTCCAGCCTTCAACACTACTCTTTTATAAAAATTAGTCTTGGTTGTGCAATTGGTAGGGGAGAAAGAATAAAATATTGTAGCTATCATGAATTCTATAAAAATCAAAGAGCCACCATTTGGATTGATAATCAGTTTATACACTAGTTGTAGTGACATTTTTTTTTAAGTTTATCGAGACAGGGTTTCTCTGTAGCTTTAGAGCCTGTTCTGGAACTAGCTCTTATAGACCAGGCTGGCCTTGAACTCACAGAGATCCGCCTGCCTCTGCCTCGCCAGTGCTGTGATTAAAGACTTGCACCACCACTGCCTGACTGTGACATAATTTTTGTTATGTATTTGTACATGCACGTGGGAGTGAGTGCATTTGTGTGCACGGTGTTACATGTAGAGGCCAGAGAACAACTGTCAGAAGTCAATTTTGTCCTTCCAACAGGATCCTTCCACCATAGAGTCTAGGGATAGAACACAAGTCAACAGGCTTACATGGCAAGTACTTTCTTCACCCACTGAGTATCTCCTGGCCCCATGTTACAAATACTTTTAGGCTGAGGATGTAGCTCAGGATATCAGGGTAGACAATTGCCTAGCATTAGAAAAAGTCCTGGGTTCAATCCCCAGTACTCCAAAAGGAAGGGTTTATAAATGCTTTCAATTTCACACTTTTTTTCTTTTGGGGTTTTATTTTATATTTCTGAAGTAGAGTTATAGTTTGTTATAGGGGATTTATTTATTTGTGTGTACATGAATATTATGCAAGTATATAGAGGTCAGAAAACAGGTGTGGAAGTTGGTTGTCTCTCTCTAGCATATAAGTCCCAGAAATTGAACTTAGATTGTAAGTCTCAGCAGCCAGCTCCTTTACACCCTGAGCCAGCTCATCAGCCCTTCAAAGGGGATTTTTACTGTATTTCTTTTAAACTGGGTCTCACTGTATATCCTTGACTGTCCTGAAACTTGATAATATGTAGGCTGTGCTGGCCTTGAACTCACAGAGATCAACCTGCCTCTGCCTCCCAGATGCTAGGGTTAAATGTGTGTGCCACCATGCCTAACCTTATTTTTATTGTTTAAAGGTTTGATTTTTATTATGTGTATCTATACAGAGGTATGTGCGCATGAGTTCAGGTTCCCTCGGAGGCCAGAGGCAGTTGATATTCCTGGAGCTAGAGTTACAGGTGGTTGTGAACCACCTGACCTGGGTACTGAGAAGTAAAGTTAGGTTCTCTACAAGAGCAATAAATTCTCTTAATACCTGAGCCATCTTCCCAGCCACTTTTTTTTAAATATTTATTTATTTATTTATTTATTTATTATGTATACAATGTTCTGCCTACACGTACCCCTGCAGGCCAGAAGAGGGCACCAGGCCTCATTACAGATGGTTGTGAGCCACCATGTGGTTGCTGGGAATTGAACTCAGGACCTTTGAAAGAGCAGGCAATGCTCTTAACCACTGAGCCATCTCTCCAGCCCCATTCCCAGCCACTTTTTAAAAAAGATTTTTATTTATTACGTATACAGTATTCTCAGTACTCTGCCTGCAGGCCAGAAGAGGGCACCAGATCTCATTACAGATGGTTGTGAGCCACCATGTGGTTACTGGGAATTGAACTCAGGACCTTTGGAAGAGCAGGCAGTACTCTTAACTGCTGTACCATCTCTCCAGCCCTCCAGCCACTTTTGTTCTCTTCTTAATTATGTATAGGTGGAGAGGAGGTGAAACTTAAATGAAATAGTGTAAAACTCCCTTTCAAGGGCTGGTGAGTTGGCTCAGAGGAGTTGGCATGTGAATGTAGATACCTATATAGGCTAACATGATCCATTACAGATGCTTGTAAGCTGCCTGATGTTGTTCTTACAATCAAACTCAGATTCTCTGCAAAAGCAGTGTACGCTCTTAACAGTAGCGGCAACTCTCTAACCCCTTATGTAATTAAAAACAGTTGTACGTGGGTGAGTGTTTTGCCTGCATATATGTCTGTGTGCCACTTGAGTGAAGGGCCCACAGGCCAGAAGAGGGTGTCAAGTCTCCTGGAATTGAAGTTAAAAGGCAGTTGTGAGCCTTCACATAGGTGCTGGGAATTGAACAAACAATACTCTTAACTGCTGAGCCATCACTCCAGCCTTGTCCTTAGGAAATGTTTGAACCAGTTCATTGCCTAGAAATGGAGGAAGAGGTATAAGGGGAACTGGAAGTATAAGAGAAATCATTTCCAGAGTGGAGCCTTCTAGCTATGTGTGTCTGAGGAGCTACAAATGTTTTGTTGAGGCATTAGCGTGCCACTGGACCATAGGCTAGTTGGCACAGTCTCTGTGCCACCATCATATCATAACAACTACCTCTCCCCCTCCAAATAGCTTTTCATCAGGAATATAGTAGTCAATGCCAGGATTGAATATTTATGCTGTAAATTTGTTCATTATGGTCCCACAATTGGTATGAATCCTTTGATTTCATCTCTAGACACTAAAATGATTTGCTTATGTTCATGTTTGGGATACTGAACAAAATTTACAAAATGTGGATAGAGGGGCTGGAGAGATGACTCAGTGGTTAAGAGCACTGACTGCTCCTCCAGAGGACCCGGGTTCAATTCCCAGCACCCACATGGCAGCTCACAGCTGTCTGTAGCTCCAGTTCAAGAGAATCTGACATCGTTATAGCAATGTGCATGAAATGAAGTTAAATAAAGTTTTTTTTAAAAAAAAAAGCAAAAAATGTGGATAGAGAATAGATTAGTGCATGTCAAAATGAAATAGACTCTAGGTTTAATCTCCAGCACTAAAATACATACAGAATAGAAAAGGATGGAATTAAAAAGTTTATCACAGATGAAAAAAATGTTTTCTAACTGGGTGGTGGTGAGACACACCCTTAGACCCAGCACTTGGGAGGCAGAGGCAGGTGGATTCAGGCCATCCTTGTTTACAAAGTTATTTCCAGGACAGCCAGAGCTGTTACACAGAGAAACTGTGTCTCAAAAACCAAAAAAAAAGTTTTCTAGAAGAATAAAGAGTTAAAAAATAAAACAGAAATACTAGAACCCCCAAACTTTCTTTGATAAATAAGTATGTTTATGCATTTATGTTACTTAGATTTAACCCCAAAGGATTGAAAAGAAAGTAAGATAAAGAAAGACATATACACATGGGGAAAACATGTAAATAAACAGACCTTTAGAATGAAATAAGCTGGGCAGTAGTGGCACATACCTTTAATCCTAGCACTTGGGAGGCAGACCAACCTGGTCTATCAAGTGAGTTACAGGAGCGGCTCCAAAGCTACAGAGAAACCATGTCTCAAATAACCAAAAGGAAAAAAGAGACAAAAATAAAATGAAAACATAAAGGAAAATTCAAGGATAACTGAAGGTTTGTTCATCTCAAGTCCCTAGATTTTTCTTGTCATTTATTGTAATAATTCATCTGATTGTATTTTTACTTACCAAAATAGCATCTGTGCCTCAGAGTATGTGTGAGAGTTTGTACATGTGTTCATATGTGTGTGGGTACATTTGTGTGCCTGGGTGTAGAGGCCTGAGTATTTGGTGTCATCTTCAGAAATGTTGTCTACCTCCTTTGAAGCAAGGTCTCTCCTTTGCCTGGAGCACACTGGTTAGGCTGGATTAGCTAACCAGCCAGCTCGAGGCATCCGCTTGTCTCTGCTTCCCAAGTGCTGCAATTAGGAGGCTATCACCACCCTTGCTTTTTAAACATGACTTCTGGGAGATGAACTAATGTCCTCATGCTTTCAAAGCAAGCATTTTTACTGATTGAGTCATCTTCTCAGCCTCCAGATCTTATTTAATTTTTAAAAATTTGATACAAAGTCTCACTGTGTAGCCCTGGCTGTTCTGAACTTGCTATAACAGCAGGCAGGGTTTTAACTTTGACTATCTTTGCCTTCTGAGCGTTAGTTTTACAGGCCTGTGCCACTGTGTCTGTCTGGTTACATACTTTTGATATTTAAGGTAGGCTGTTAGATCTTCTTTGCCTGATGATTTAGGGTCTCAAAATTGTGAGAATTTGGGGTATCAATCAGTGTTAGATTCCTGCCTAGAATGTGTGGGACCCTGGGTTCAATCCCCAGCACCAAACCCAAAAATTGTTGTATGCCCATACTCCTTCCTACAAGGAGTCTGAAACAGAAGGAGCATTTGAGACCAGTAGTGTGGTATAGGTTGAGCAACATAGCAAGACCCTGTCTTAAAAACAAGAGTGGAGCCGGGCGATGGTGGCGCACGCCTTTAATCCCAGCACTCGGGAGGCAGAGGCAGGCGGATCTCTGTGAGTTCGAGACCAGCCTGGTCTACAGAGCTAGTTCCAGGACAGGCTCCAAAGCCACAGAGAAACCCTGTTTCGAAAAACCAAAAAAAAAAAAAAAAAAAAAAAAACAAGAGTGGAAGCAGCACACTGGCTGGAGAGAGACCAGCTGTTAGAGCCCATTATTGCTCTTGCAGAGTACCCAACTCAGTTCTAGGAACCCATGTTGGGCAGCTGACAACCTCCCGTAACTCCAGCTCCAGATCAGTAGATCTGATGCCTCTGGCCTCAGTGGGCACTGGCACTCATGTGCACACATCCTCACACAGACATATGTACCTAGAAATAAATCCTTTAGTTCCGGGTCTAGGGCTACACAAAGAAACTGTCTTAGGGGAAAAACCACCAAAGGAGGGAAAGCCTCCATAGTGT